TTCATCACCATGACCCCCAGCACCACCATCATCACCAGCAGCAGCAGCAACATTATTTATGGGCCCGTCACGTGAACCATCCCAGTTCTTTCATCTCTAAGCGGGGGCGATGGGAAGAACTGTCCGTAGCTTGTGGTGAGGCTTGAGTGAGGTGAAGCAGCGGACAGGGGGCCTGGCACCCAGGGTCTCGTGGGTTGGTTCCATTGGAGAAAAAGATGGGCGTTGAAGCGGTGAGGTGTTTGCGAGGACACATAGGCAGTGAGGAGAGTGTCCAGATACAAAGCCTGCTCTTCCAGTCTGGGTCCTCCTCTAGTGCCCACCACCAGCCTCCCACTGGCCGTCATGTGAGCAGCTGCTTTGACATCATTGCTTGTGTTGCTGCTTCCGCTTTGAGAGGAAGCAGCTGGAACTCAGAGAGGCCAGTGGTGTCCAGGACAGAAGACTCGGCCTTCCTGGACCTCACAGCCCTGCTCCCACATGCTGCACAGCTTCAGTGTGCCAGGCGCCAAACCCACCGGCACTGACCCAAACTGCCTACTCTGAGTCCCTCTGACCATGCTACTCCAAGGGTCCAGAGCTTAGTGCCAGACGGTGGCCATGGACCAGGAGACTGGCACCATACATTGGTCACTGCACATGCTCTAAAGAATCAAAGGCAGAGGCAGTCATGGGGTGGCCTGCAAGGCCACTCGTGCAGAAGGGAGAAGGCCTGTGGCAGGCATGCCCAGTGCCAAGTGGGCCCCAAGGTGACAGGGGAAGATAGAAAGGCTCTCTTAGCCCAGGTGTGTCGTGGCCACAGCTGCATGACTCTAGGGGGCTGACAGTCAGCAGGTCGTCAGCCTGTCTCCACACTGGGTGGGGAAGCCTGTGGTCTGGACAGTCCTGTGGGCAGGGTCCAGAGGTGACACACGGGTGTCTCATCGGCAGCTGAAGTGAAGGTGACAGACAAGGGGACTGCCATCAGGAGACAAGGCCACAGGAAGGGACTGTGTCACCTGCCACTGCTGCTGGCACTGCTATCAAGGTCTTGGGATGGCAGCACCACAGAGGGCATGGGGGCCCAGGGCCAGGACTGACTGAGGGCCAGCAGCCCTCCATCAGCACCCACTTAGCTGAAAGGAACAGACTGCAGGGGCCCTGAATCTCTGGAGCTCTGGTTCTGCGCTCTGTCCAGCTCTCCCCACTGCCCACTGTGCCTGCGGCTTGTCAGAGCACAGCAGGACATGGTGGTCAGCGACAGATGACTGATGTACAAGGCAGAGATGTGTCCGTGCTGCGCTCTGCCCAAAGAGCAGAGCCTGGGCAGCAGGGAGGGTAACAGCTTGCATTACAGGACTCAGGGGCCAGGGTGGCTGCCTGGCAGGGCTGGGGAACTTGTAAAACAAGACGGATCATCAAGCCCCCCGCCACCCCAACCCTGCAAGGGACTACATGTGTTACCAGGGGCAGCAGCCCCTGCCAGTGGCCATGCTGGCAGTCACATGGGCCCCAGATGGTAGCCGTGGCCCCAAGACACAGAGAGGCGAGCCAGCCCAGAGCCGCAGCTGCCCACTGTGGCCAGCACTAAGCTGGATGGGAGCCACTGTCTGTCTGCAGGGCTGGAGGCTGGCGGCCCCTCCCAGAAGCTTCTGGAATGGCATTTCCTGCTGCACATGTTTATGCTCTCAGATGGAGACACGGGGGCCCATTTATCACATGGATAGGAAGGCAGGAGAACACATCAATGGCAGATCAAGATGTTTCAATATTTCAGCAGGATGAATGTAGCCACCCACGTGTGAGCCCAGAGCTGTGTACTGTGGCCTTTTCAAGATCATCTTGTCCCCACGCAGTTACGGTTCCACTGCCCCGATCTCTCCTGCAGACCCTCACCTGCCCTCACCTGCCCTCCACGCTCGGGGGCACCATCCACCTGGGCCACCTCAGTGGGCTTTTCCTAGGACAGGTGCTGCCCTGCTTCCTGCCTGCCCAGCTCCACCCTCAGTCAGTTTCTCTTCCACCCGTACACTCTCACACACTCATCTCACACACTCACACCCTCACCCTCACACACACCCTCGCACTCATTCAGACACATGCTCACACACACACATACCTTCACCCTCACACACTCACACACCCTCACACTCACTCTCACATTCTCACTCCCGCACTCATGTTCATACACACTCTCACACTCACACACACACACACACACACATTCACACTCAGGCACACACACACCTTCACCCTCAGATACATGCTCACACTCACTCTCATACTCATGCTCACACACTCCCTCCCTCACACACATACTGTCACATTTTCATTCACTCACACACTGTCACACTAATACATACTCTCTCACACACATGCACTCTCACACTCACTCACGCCTATTCTCACACTCATTCTCACTCACACTCTCCCCCATTATCACACTCTCACTTACACTCACACACTCACACTCATCTCACTCACACGCTCACTCTCACTCTCTCACAAAGTATCACACTCACACTCAGACTCTGCCCTGAGGACTAGTCTTCCTTTTCTACCCAGTGTGAGTGTGCAGCAGTGTGTGTGTGTGTGTGTGTGTGTGTGCTAACCAGCAAAGACCCTGAGCAAACCCCAGTAAGGAAAGTCTCCGCTGCTGCATCAGCCCTGCCCTGGACACCCGCCTCTGTGTGGCCAGCTCTGTGGCCAGCTGTGCCCTGCTGCAGGTTGGGCGGTGGTCTCCTTGTGGGGGACATGACCCCTGTGCCTATGGAATACACAGCCCCCTGAACACACTGGGGATGAGGAGGTGCTTGAAGGGATGGGACAGAAAGGAGTCGGCTGGGGACCCTTCAGAGCTGGTCAGCCCAGGCACCTCCACAAGGATCTTCCAAAAGAGGCCCGGGATAAGGACTGCCCCAGAGTGGCATGGCCCCAGGACTGAGGTCTGAAGCTCTGGGGACACCCCCACATCTGCCCTGGCTGGCAGGTGGGACAGGACCTTGGCACTCTCCTGGAATACCCAGGCCAGAGAGGACTCCCATCTGCTTAGCGTGCCCTAAGGGAGGCTCTTTGTACCTTGACAACACCTCGCTGGTTTAATTAAAGGTCTCAGTAATTACTTTCTGCTCCAGGCCTGGGACTTGCTCAGCCAGAAGAATATCAAAATAGACCCAGCCTTTGATGGACTCTCATGAAACCAGGCTCCTGGCAGGTGGAAGGTGACCAGTGGTCCGAGACAGAATGTTGGTGGAATGAGCTATAATGCGGGACCTCCCCAGCTCCTGGGCTCTGTGAACCTTATTCCACACCACAGCAGGCCAAGCCTGCTGGTAAACGTATCACAGAGAAACTCTAATGGTTCTACCTTCTAGAACGTGACCCAATTGCAGGGCCATGGGTAGCAACTTTCCTCCCCACATTCCGCCTCACCTCACTGGGCTGAGCGTGAGCACCCTCCTGAAATAGTCCATCTATAAATATGAGCCCTCGTGTGCTGAGCAAGCACCTTCTGGCAGGGCCTGTCCTTGGTGTGAGTAGGGGTGGTTGTTCTCTCCACAGCCCCTGGCACGGGGAACCGCTGGCCAGACAGCATGCCATGCCATCCTCTCATGCCCCGATGCCGGCCGCCAGGGCACTTCCCCAATGCCTGGACAGACGGCATGACAGGGACACTGGGCGAATGGCAGGTGTCGGGTGTGTGGGCCACCTGGTCCTGCCACTCAGTGATTGAATCTGACCTTGCATCAGCCCCACTCCCTGCTCACCTTGCCCTCCTGACAGGAAGGGATAGAGGGCCCCCAGGTGTCCTGGGCCCCCTCAGAAGCCACACGGGCAGCTGGCTTCTCGATGCCCATCCCCCAGATCCCCTGCAGAGTAGATGCTCAGCCTTGACCCTGCTGACCTCTCGGGGTGGGGTGATGAAGTTTTGGGAGTGTCTGCCTGCATGTGGGGCATCTGACATTTGTCTACAGGAAGACTTCTGTAGAGGAAGGGTTTCTGAACAGCCACTGACCACGAGGTCCAGTGCTCAATGGGGGCTGGACTGTCTGGGCCAGAGAGGCGGCAATGCCCAGTGCAAAGACCTGAGAGGTCAATGCTGGTCATGGTCCTAGGGGTCAGGGCTGACCATGGGTGGGACGGATGGCAAGTCGGGGCCTGTCGGGGGAGCTGCATCCAGAATCATCTCAGAGCATAAGGAAGGCCAACAATGGCCAGTTCGGTGAGGTCATGATGCCACAGCGTGGCCGGTTAACAAAGGTTGCTTCTACCCTCCCTTCCAGAGAGGATGCCCTGGTGGGACTGGGGAGCCAGAGGGGGGCTTCCTTCCCAGGCTCCTCTCATCTGTCTGATCTCACCATACACAGGGAGGCTGATTCCCTGTCACTGGCACAGAGCTGCCCACTGGGCACCCAAATCCCCCTGCACACCCCACTCTCCCCATTGCCTGCTTGGTGCCCAGGGATGTGTGCCGCCTCTGTGCTGGGGATGGGGAGCGTCTGTCCCAGGCTCCTCTTCTGTCTGACCAACTCCCAATCATTAGCACTTCCTTCTTGCAGCCTGATCTCTACTGTGCCTACTGGCATTTTCCACGCTGAATGCCCCCCCCCGCCCCCCCCGAGATGCCAGGCATGTGCCCAGAAAGAGGCCACTGCCCAGACCACTCAGCCCAGGCCGCCCTGGCCCTGCTGGCTGTGGCTCACTCCCCATGACTCCAGGAACACAGGGGCCTGAAAGGGGGTCTGGGCCACCATCCCGGCAACCCCTCATGGACACCCGCCCCCCCCTCCCCTGCCCACTCCCCAGAGCAGGGTGTGCGGCCTGGTGTGAGTCTCTAGAGCCCCCTCGCCCGCCACCCCCCTGAGGCTGCACCTCAGGAGCGCCCGCTGGCACATGGACACACCCCTGTGTTAACCTCCCTGTGGCCGCAAAGAAGCGCTGCTCCCTGAGGAGCTCCGGGGTGCGGGGGTGGGGGGTCAGAGGCTGACTGCTGAGGTGTGTGACCTGGGTCTGTTCCCTCACAGGACTGAAGGCCATGAGATCCTGGAGCCAGAAGCAGAGAGAGAGGGTGGGGCTGTGGAGATGCCCCCAGCCCAGGTCCTGCTGCCCCTGGAGGAGAGGGTGACACGCTTCCGGGACATGCTCCTGGAGAGAGGGGTAAGGGCCAGTCCAGGGCTCTGAGCATAGCGCTCACCCCCATCAGAGTGGCCCAGGCCAGCCAGGAAAGGGGCTCCTTCCTTTCCTTCTGCGAGAGGTTGCAGGCCAGAGGGGCCCGGCAAAGGGGCAAGGGCATGCTGGGGACCCACTGTGTCCATGTGGTGCAGCGTGAGCCGCCAGCATGAGGCCATCCCCAGGAAGGGACCAGTGGCTGTATTGTGCCCACCAACACTATCTTGGCAGGGTCTACCTTGTCTGGAAGCGGGTGCTGGTGGTCAGAGGCGGTACTTTGCCAGGTGCAGGGCAGGTGTATCCAGGACTCTGCCGGCCCCATACTCCCACTCCGACCGAGAGGGGGACAGAGCCTGCATCCTTTTTAGCTTACTTTGTGCAGGAAGCCGGCCAGACCCACCAGGGACTGCTGAGCCCAGTGTGCAGGCCACTGGGGCAACTGGGGACCAGCTCGTCCCTCAGCTATGCCCAGTGCTGGCTTTGCCTCCGGCTCTACCTGGGGCCTCCTGGTCCTGTGTGAGGGCTCCCCTGAGTGGATGCTCAGCACTCACTGGTCCCTGGAGGTGGGCTCACCTGCAACCTGATAATGGCTGACAGGGCCAGAGATGGAGAGCAAGATTGTTAGGATCCCCTCCCCCCCGCCAAACACACACCATACACCTTACTCACCACACACCTAAGAGTCAGAGGCCAGGCCACAGCTCATTCGTAGAAAAGGTCAAACTACACTCATGGAGGTGGGGCAAGGCCACCATGAGCCGCAGGCCCCACCTGCTGCTCCGTGGAGGGTCTGCTAGAGGGCCCGGCGGGGCAGCCTTTTCTGGTCCTGCATCTGTTCCCGAGGTCAGCCAGCCCCCCATGGGCTCATGGGGCCATGTGGCTGGACTGGGGGTTCCAGTCTGTTAAGAGGGCATGTTCTGGAATGTTCCACAGAGCCTGTGAGTTTGGGGAGGGGGGATAGCATTCTCTGCAGCGTGGGCAGGAGGGTTCAGGGGGAGTTTGTTTAGTAGGTTCATTTGCCTGTGTCGCTGTGAGAAACCAGAGGGGCTTCCTTGTAAGCCGGGTCTGTCGGGTAAGTTTACTGCAGGCATCCTCAAACTATGGCCCACGGGCCACATGTGGCTCGCTGAGGACATTTATCTGACCCGCCGGGTGTTTTTACCCCATTTGTTTTTTTACTTCAAAATAAGATACGTGTGCGGTGTGCATAGGAATTAGTTCATAGTTTTGTTTTAAACTATAGTCCGGCCCTCCAACGGGTCTGAGGGACAGTGAACTGGCTCCCTGTTTAAAAAGTTTGAGGACCCCAGGTTTAATGACTGACCCATGTAGTAAGAGCATGGAGACACTGCACCGACTGTGGCTTCCTTGCGAGGCAGGGCATCTGGGGACAATGATGAGCAGGGCGATATGAAGGTGTGAGGATGGATGGACACCCTCCTCCCCGCCCCCCCTCACTGTCCCTGGACGGTGTCCTGAGAGCCATGGCTGGCCTGGTCTGCCCCAGGCCTGGTGCACCAGACCTGAGGGCCCAACTTTCAGTTGCCGGACACAGGCAGGACGGCCTGCTCCCCAGAACAATGTTTTTTGGTGAGGTTGGAGAATTTCTTACCCGAGTCCACAAGGGAAGGGGCACCTCTGGGTCTGACCTGATCCGTCTTCCCTGGCCATCCAGGCCCTGGCTCTCCTGAGACAGAGGCTTTGAAAAGCCCTGCAGTAGCCTTGGGGGTCTCACTGGGTCAGCCACCCTGCTTGTCCACCTGCTCCTTGGTCCTGACCGGGATGCCCCCACGCCTGGTGGCCGTGAGCTCGGAATTGATGGCGTCCGGCCTCAGGACTGGAGGTGCTAGCGGTTGGCAGGGAGAAGCCTGGAGGGCACAACCAGTGGCTGGAGCACCCAGGCCCAGATCATGGCATCTAGCACCAGTCTCAGGAAAGAGACCAGATCCCTGGGCTGGGCCAGGGCTGTACAGAGAGCCTGTAGAGCCTGGTATCTCCAAACCAAGACAATGAGGACTGTTGGAGGGTCCCGGGCCCCTGAGAGAGCTGCCCAGAGTCAGAGCTGGGGTCTTTGCACAACAACCTGAGTAAGCAAGCACTAGGCTGCACCTGAACTCTGAAGATGGTGCCTGGGGTCTTTCCTGATAGCTGTGAGTGGATGGACGTGGAAGAAGGACCAACCGCCCACTAGACGGGTCACTGTCATTCCTGTGGACCCCATGCTCTCCGGGGGAGCAGAGCTCCCCACCCCCAGCGTGTGAACGGAGCACAGCAACACTCTTTCTGAGTGAGGTGCCGGGCAGGTCGCTGTCCACAGCACCGGGTTCTGATGATCACCTGCACCCTGGTATGAGGGCACGCAGTGTTCCCCACTTCTGGGAGCTCCCTCCCCAACCCCACAGTCCCTGAGTCAGAAAGCAGTAGAGACCAGGGCAAACCTGCAAACCAGTCCCAACCGGTCTAGTGCCAAGGGCATCAGAGACAAGGGCGATCTGATCAATGGTCGCAGCCCAGAGAAGCCCAAGGAAGAAGGACAAGAGACTGCCACATGGTGTCCCGGCCCCCAAAAGGGCTTCAGGGACCAGTCGGGATCTGAGGGAGCATTGGCTGTCCCATGGCCCCGCTGGGGGACGCGGGCGTGGTGATCTGCAAGGACGCTCTGCAAGCCCTTGTGGTTTCCCTTCGAACCCGAAACGCTGCTGCAGTAAAACGGTCTGTTTGGATGACTGACATGCCCCCACCATGCTTCACCGTTGATTAGAAATCAAGGGAAATTATGCTAAACGGGCCTGTGTGCAAGGCATTGCCCTCGGGCATGACCTGCCAGGTTCCAACTGCATTTTTTGAGAGATCAGTTCTCCTTCGAGCGGGGGGCACTCTCGAGCGCCCCTCCTCCACAGGCAGAAGCAGGACGCGGGAGCTGGGGCACAGGCCAGGGGGAAGGGGCCCGTGATTCGGAACTCAGCCTTCTGAAGGCTGTGAATTTCGACTCCCGTTGGGTGCTTGGGGCGTGTGTGGCACCCTGCGCGGCCGGGTCTCTGCTGCCGGGTGCGTTACTGATCATTATTGCGGGCTCAGCCGCAGGTGCTAACGCAGCTCCGCGGCTCCTCTCCCTTCAGGTGTCAGCGTTTTCTACCTGGGAGAAGGAACTGCACAAGATCGTGTTTGACCCACGCTACCTGCTGCTCAACTTGGAGGAGCGGAAGCAGGTACGCACAGTGGCCACAGACGGGCTCAGTGGACAGTGAACCGTAGATGGTGGATTGTGGACGCGGCTCGGCGATGGCTCTCCTGCCCAGCTGGCAGGAGCCTTTCTGCTGCTGACCTGGGCCAGCTGCCACCTGTATGGCCTTGGGTAGGAGGGCCTGCAGGGTTTGGACTCCAGCTTCTGAGCACTTACACTGACAGCTTTTTGCTCACTCAGGGACCCTGGGTTGGGCAAGAACTGCCCCCTGGGCAGCCTCTTCTGAGGCCGCTGTCCTCCCCCTCCTCAGCCGAGCACTTACCCCATATCCCCAGGTCCATGGTTCCTGGACTGAAGGGTGGTGGCCCTGGTCTTCCTGTCTGTATTGCCTCTGGCCACAATCCCAAACACCAACGGTTCTCAACCTGTGGGTTGTGAACCCTTTGGGGGGGTGGGGGGTGGAACAACCCTTTCACAGGGGTCGCCGATATATAGCAGTAGCAAAATAACAGTGATGAAGTAGCAATGAAAATAATTTTATGGTTGAGGGTCACCACCACATGAGGAACTGTATGAAAAGGTCGCAGCATCAGGAAGGTTGAGACCCACTGCCTTAAGCACTTTCAGAAACGAAAATGTGGGTCATCCCTGACTGAGGACACACCCACAATAGCCTACACCCACGGGCCACGGTGGCTGGCTTTATCATCAACAATGGAGGCCCAGTGGCCCAGTGGTTAAAGGTTGAGTTGCTAACCATAAGATTAGCAGTTCGAAACCATCAGCTGCTCCGTGGGAGAAAGATGGGACTATCTACTACTGTACAAACTTACAGCCTCAGACACTCAACCACGCAGTCCTGCCCTGCCCTGCGGGGTGGCTGAGTCGGCACCCACTCGATGGCAGTGTGGTTTTGGATCATTCACAACAAGCACACAGTAATATACATCTCTGCATTTCCACGTGATGTTTCCAACTCAAAACAAAGAAAGGCTGGATTTGTAAATACACTAAAACAATAAACACTGAGAAAAGAGCTACATCAGCACGGACTCACAACGAGGAGTATTAACCATGTTACATCAGTACTGACTCACAACGAGGAGTATTAACCATGTTCTGAATGGCCAGGTTACGAACAAGCGGGTCTTCCAGCCGCAGGGAGACAGGGATGGCTGGAAAAGAATTCCGGAGTATCTATGGGTGGATGTCCCACAGCTAATGTCACAGTGTCCATCACTAGCGGATGATCAGCACTGCGCTCACTGGGGTCCGCTGTGCAAGGGCCACTGTGGGCATCTGTTGTGTCCATTGACAGGACGGACGCTTCGCTTCCAGCCATGGCCCCAGCCCTCCCGGAGGACCCGGCCCCCATCTCCCCCAAGCTGCCTCCAAGGAGGAGGACTGAGCAGACCTGGGCGGGACAGCCCCACAAGCAGCTGGCTGTACTCTGCAGTCAAATCAGACAGCAGTGGGAGCCCCTCCCCCACCCTCCAGTGTCGAGGGAAGACCCCCCCAAATAGCAAATCACCCAGAAGGAACCACCAGGCGTGTCCTCGGGTCCTACAGCAGTAGGTGTCCTGGAGGGCCCTTGGGGAAGAGATGGCAGCAGATCCAGAGACGGCCTGAGAGTGACCGGTGCAGCCAGCTGCGGTCCAGTGGGCTGCAGCTATGGCCATGGCGCCGGAGCACACGCAGCAGAGCACCATGAATTCCTGGGGGCCTGCGTTGGGCTGGGGGTGATGGTGGAGTGCAGGCCTTGCTTCTGAGGTGCCTCTGGGTGTTGGACATGGGCCTCCACTCTTGCGGTTCAGAGCTGAGAGCCTTGGCTGTCTGCACCCCAGGGACATCCTGCAAGAGAAGACCACCTGAAGGGCTGCCAGGAGCTCACTACTGCCCCAGGAAAGCCCTGCAGCTGAGCCCATGGCAGAGGGCAGAGGCGAAGACCGCAGCCTGGCTGATGGCAAGAGCATCCACAGACTCCTCCCCGAGTGGGCGGTGTCTCCCTGGGACCTCCTGCCTCAGAGCCTGGCTGAAGGAACCCCAGAGGGCAGGGTGCGCACTGGCCGCCCCCCACCCCTATCCCCCGCGCCTCTGGGGGTTGAGGGAGCAGGAACTCAGAGGGACTGTGGCTGCTAATCAGACCTGTTTCTATGGGAACAAATAGTGCTTCATTTGGCTATGTTAGCGCGTGTCCTAACGAGATCGCACCTGGCGGATGCTCTCAGAAAGGCCTGTCACGTCCCACTTTGGAGAAGCTGGTGCAGTTCCTTAAACGGGAAACAAGGAGCTGCTGCGTCCATTTCCACTGCACAGGAGCCAGAGGCCCAGCAGAACCTTCTGGGGAGTGCTGGCCTGCAGCACGCGGGGCTTCAGCGGGGATGCCTAGGGCACCAGGCCACCTGCCCTGAGGTGGACCACAGCCCCGCACTGCCTGCCCAGAGCACCAACTTAAATCACAGCCAAGGGACAGCTTGCGTGGTGCCCTGCTGTGACGGTGGAGGGAGCCGAGTGTGTCTGGGCACACATTCGAATTCCAGTCCCGCGTTTGTTCATGCTCCATCATGCTGCCTCGCCCCCTCCCAGACTGCTGTGACTGAAATGGGCTTGGAAATCCTGAAGACGGAAGCTCAGGGAGCCACTTATACACCGGGAGTCTCTCTGTCAGCCTTCGCCCAGCTGCCGGCTCCTTCCACGTCGGGGGAGGTCAGAGACAGGCAGTGTCCATGGTGGCCGGGCCACCTGCCGATACTCCCTCTGTGGCCGCTGGCTGGGTTGATGCAGATCAGTGTGTGCTGGCCTGTTGGCATCACAGTGGAGCCTTTGCTGATCTTCTGCATGTTTGCGCACAGTTTTTAAAAGTGACTCCAGCTTTCTGCCCAATGTCCTTGAAGTGTGGAGGGCCCTGGGGAGGACACAGGCCCCGCCCCCTCCACTCAGGGCTGGCTGCCTGTGAGTGAGGGGTGGCCCCTCGGGGGCCACAGATGCTCGCTCCCCCGTGAGCAACGAGGGAAACTGCCCCAGGAACCACTGTTGCAAAGAGACCCTTGTTCTGGGACTGATCTGGGGTGCTGAGCGGCTTCACCAAGGAGAAATCCCACACACACTCTGCTGAGGACCAGGGTTGTCTCTGCAGGCTGGCTTTCAGAAACACTTGGTCTGGGGAGAGGACAGTGCCCTGCCAGCTTCCTGGTGGTCCCTCCTATACCGACACACTGAGGGTCCCAGAGCCCCAGACTGTCCTCGGAAGGGGCTCGCCTTGCCCCTGAGAGCCCGCAGTGGCGGGCCAGGTCCTCAGGGGGCTTCCCTAGGCTGGACCACATGGAATCAGAAGGTCTGAGGACAGGGGGAACATTAAGGTGACCATGCATCACTTACAGTGCTGCCGGCCACCTGGGGATGAGGATGCGGCCAGGCATGCTGTCATGTCACCACCGGACATTAAAATGAGACTCAGACCACCCTGTTCACTGCCCCTACTCAGGGAGGGCCCCAAGGCCAGCCCTCGATCTCCCACCAGGCCAGTCTGTGGTCTGACCTGGACGCATCCAGTGTGGGTCAAACACATTCAGTTTATGGGTGGGGGTCAGTGACTGGAGGTCCAGTGACAGTTGCCTCTGAGTCCCATGTGTCTAACCCCTTAGGAAGGGAAGGGCTCATTCCCTACGGCACGTGGTGACCTTTCCTTTGTGTCTGTGTTTAAGATATTCGAGCAGTTTGTGAAGACCAGAATCAAGGAAGAATACAAGGAAAAGAAAAACAAGTTGCTGCTAGCCAAAGAGGGGTTCAGAAAACTTCTGGAGGAGTCTAAAGTGTCCCCCAGGTATGGAGAGAACTAGAGCAAGGGGTCTGGAGGTAGGGTTTTGCTCATCATGCCACGGAGCATTCGGCTCAGCATGCTTACGAAACGCAGCCATTCACAGGTGTCAGAAGGAACTCTCCTTAGTAGGACCTTCCTTGGAGGGCAGGGGGGAGGCTGCTTGTCCCTGGGACTCGCCAAATCCTGAGCTCCAGTTCCTCGCAGGGGTTCTGTTTGTTCGTTGAGTGGCCCCTAATCACTGTTCCCTGCCTATGTATGCACTGGACAACTAATTCCAACGTCAGCAGTTTGAAACCACCAGCTACTCCTTGGGCAAAAGCCGAGACTCTCCACTCCCTTAGAGTTCCAGTCTGGCCACGCAAGGGGCAGTTCGGCGCTGTGCCCTGGCCCTGCCCCGAGGGCAGGGAGTTTGGTTGGGGTTCATGTTGTCAGTCACCCTGACTCGGGGCCAACGTAGTGGTGGTGACCTGATTGACAGGTGGCTCCCTGTGGGGTGGGTCTCCTCTCTGGCTCCATGACCCCAGACTAAAAAGGCCCGAGACTGCCACCTTCCCGCAGAGTCAGCCTGAGGTCCCAGCTCCCGAGGTTTGGGGCAGAATTCTACACACGGGGGCATTTGGAGCAAGCTTTCTGGGTTGCCTGAACTTACCTGTAACAATCAGGCACAATTCTCATGACACACAACAAACTGATAGGAAAATACGAGGTGGAATTGAGGAAAATGCTTAACTACCTTGTTTAATTAGCTCTAATTGATGTTTTAAATAATGGAAGCACACTGCTTTCAGAATGTTAAAACCAGAACATTTGTAAGTATAAAAATGATTGCATTCAGCGTATTTTCATACAAGGTTGGGGCTCACAGCATTATTTTTTAAATGGCCGTTAATTGGAAGTGTTTTAATGCAGACATAAGCTCCCATTACTCGACAGTTAATCCACAAGGCCAACAATTTGTCCACTTAGGGTTGGTGACGTAACCCTGATGGGACGTGTCCCACTGTTCAGAGGTGAGCTGCTCCCAGGAGGACCACCAGGCTTGGGTGGCTTGTCCCCCTTGGGGAACATGACCTAGAGGTGCATGGGGAGGGGCAGCTTGTGGGGTGTGATTGTCTGTGGTGGGTGCATTTGCAGCCACAGCACAAGGGTGGTCCTCTCCATGGCTCGCTGCTAATCAGACCTGTTTCTATGGGAACAAATAG